CCATGTCGACCGCCCAATTGAGTCTCAGATGCACTGAGCCTGCCTACTTGCGCATTCATATCTCCGGCAACCACCACAATGTCTGAGCTTTTAGCTCGCCGCAGCAGAGCATTCAGGGCGTCGTAAAACCTGTCTTTGACGGTGTCAGAGCTACAATCAGTTGGGGCCCGTCACGAAGAGACTGGACCTTACCGTGGTGTGACGGTTTGCGCACCTCAGCGATCCATTGAGCTATACTGGAGAGTGTCCCGCGACACTCACAGAATCTCTCATACCAGGTTGGTCAATGGTTAGAGGTCTGACGAACACAGTCTCCTGACCCTCCAGGTTGGGGGTTGGAACATGTGGCGACTTGTTCCGTAGGAATGGTAATGTATTTGCATTTCCTGCCAAACACCGCTGCCTTTGGGTTAGGCTTTTGAGCCAAAGGCTTTGGTTGAGGACCCTGATCCTCCTCCTGTCTAGGTGTGGGCGCCACGGCAGTATCCCAGCCCACGTGCAACCATAAATTGCACATACACAAATAAACTCATGCCACATCGGCCGTCGCATGGGGTCATCAGCCGGGTCGCCTTACTTGCTGCATACAGCAGGGCGGGTAAGCGAAAACCGTAGGTCGGAGAATATGATCCATTTTGTCTTTATAGGACGATTAAATCGTTGCGAGAGTCGAGTAGTTCCACGACGGGATTATAAAGGATACAGAATAGAAAGACGTAATGTACGCTTTAATCGTCTAATAACTGTAGTACATGAGCTGAAAATAGAGTGAGAATCACGAGTTAATGGGTTATGCAAAGGTATGGGTATATATAGTCATAACATACACTTAGAGACACCCCAATACAGCCATTCTTGTATCTCATCGATATGCACTTTTTCGGAAATTTCATGCTATTTAACCATATGACTACAGATAGGAGATTTATTGACTCATGACTTCTTTGCAACGTAGGTTGCCGAACAAAGACTGAATAGCTCCCTTTCCGGTTTTCTGTAGTCCTCCTTGTATGACGTGACCGATCCACATATTAACCAACCGTTCACAATACAACAACCCTCCTATCAGATATGAAGATGGCTACCATATTGTGCCTTTAAGTGAGAACGAACTATATCGGAACACAAACATTAGTATTCGTACGGATGAAAAACACAATTTCAACTCGATTGCTGCCCAAACAGATATGTAATGAATCACCTGAGTGCGGCACAAATTGCCATCTGCTTGGGTATAATGACCTCATTGGCAGTGAAATTGAAGTGACAAGACAATCGTAACTAGATTCGCTACCGATTGTCTATTTTAGATCAGTACTGTACGCATAACAGAGGTCAACACCTAAACTCAACCTGACAAGCAACATTCCAGTGAACCCTGCGACCAAGCGACCATAAAAGGATATGTTTTATATTCTGACTCTCATACTTTATGCATAGATTGTAGTGTTTCATGTAAGGACACTGTTGCGAGAGTCGAGTAGTTCCAGGACGGGATTAGAAAGGAGACGATAGAAAGACGTAATATACGCTTTATTCGTCTAATAACTGTAGTACATGAGCTGAAAATAGAGTGAGAATCACGAGTTAATGGGTTATGCAAAGGTATGGGTTATATAGTCATGACACAACAATGGTTGTGTTTGTTGATCTGAAAGCTGCCTTTGACTCTGTGGACCGTCAGGCACTATGACTGTGTCTGAGGAGCAAAGGTGTCCCTCATAAATTCTTGACCATCCCTAAGGCGCTGTGCGCCAACTCCCGCGGCCGTGTGAAAGTCTACGAGAAGCTCTAGCCTGAGTTCACCACATCCAGTGGTGTCCGGCAGGACTGTCCTCCTTCACCTTTCCCCTCTAATGCCTGTGGGGTCGAAGTGCTCCCGGGGCGTCTGCTCACAGATATCAACGACTCAGTCGACATAGCTCTTCTGGGATATGGCCCTGTGGTAATGCAAACAATACTAAATAATCTAAATAATTCTGCCCCACGGTTCGGCATGCGCTTCACACCTGCAAAGTGTAAAGTGCTACTGCAAGACTGGGTGGGCTCGAACCCTAGCCTCATGCTTGCGGATGAACCGATTGAGGTAGTAGACAAACAATGCTGCGGTGCGCTCCATATTACTATAAGGATCAGAAACCTGGCCGCTGCGCGCCGAGGACGTCAAGAGACTTTCAGTGTTGGACCGTAGATGTTTTCGGAGCATTGCCCGAATCTGGTGGGGACACCGGATCAGCAATTCTGAAGTACGGTGAATGGCATTCGGGGCGAGATGGCCCAAGTGGTTAGAGCGCGAATTTACTGACCGGAAGGTTCGTGGTTCGAATCCGACCTCCGCCACTCGACTTCCCCTGCCTAGGCTGGAGCAACCTGGCAGTATCCTAGCCCTCGTGCTTCCTTCCGGTGGCATGGCAGCTAGGCACCGGAAGGGTGCTACAGCTGGACGCTTTCTTTCTTTCTATTCGGGAGAAACAACTCACCCTCGATAAATGAACTGATCACACCGCATAGGTTGTGCTGGCTTGGCTACGTGCTGCATATGCCAGTCGACCGACTTCCTCGAGGGTCCTTTTTCGCACAACCACGTGTAAGGTTGAAGAGAGCCAGAGGTGGTCAAACACTGACTTGGCAACGAAGTATAAAAGCCATTACCAGCAAACTCAACTGTGCTGGTCATTGCCGTCTTCCTGGATGAGGATCCCGAGACGGGCCATATCAATGGTTAGAGACATTGTAAGGCATGGCCCAGTCCCGCCCTCAACTGTGCTCGTGCATCCAAGCTATTGCCTTCAATGCATAGCCCCCTTCCCAATCCCCCATTTAACAGTCCACTTACAGTGCTGTATTTACGCACCAATTTATCAGCTTCCGCCTCCAGTGCGCAGCTACCTACCCCACCTTCCCGAATCATCGGTGAACGAAACTGGAAGCTACATTCACTGTTCGACAAGTACGCGGTACTACAGCTGATATTGATTATGATGATGATGTTGAACTGTGAAGTGCTGCTACAAGACTTGGTTGGATCAAACCCAAACCTCATGTTTGCAGATGAGCCGGTCCACTTGGTGGATAAATTTGTTTACCTGGGAAAGGGTTGGGCTGGCTGAACGGTTAGAGTACGAATTTACTGACCGGAAGGTCCGTAGTTCCAACCCGACTTCTGTCTCGCCTTCCCCTGCCTAGGCTTGGGCTACCAGGCAGTACCCCTCGTGCCTCCCTTTGATGGCATGGCAATTGAGCACCGAAAGGGCGCTACAGCTGAGCGATTTTTTTGTCTGGGAAGCTGTAAAAGTTTTGGTGGAAAATGGCAATTGCCGAAAGGGCGCTACAGCTGAGCGATTTTTTTGTCTGGGAAGCTGTAAAAGTTTTGGTGGAAATGAGATTACTTTTTGAGTCGGGAAGGCCAGAACAGCTTTTGCTAACCTCCGAGATCCATGGCGCCGACTTGATGTCTGTTGAGGGCAGAGCTGCAGTGGTACTTTTTGTACTGCTTCAAGGGTCGGAAACGCGAAAAAAAGGGACCCCCCACGATGGATGGACTAGTCACTTCATAGTTTGCCCTGGTTAAGACATGTACTTCGTATGCCGGAGGACCGTCTGCCTCATAGAGCTCTTTTGCCCAGCGCTATCCATAATGTGATCGATTTAACGGTGGACAATATGATTTGGTTAGGAACTATGGAAACGCTAACCAGTAACCTCAGTCGGGATGACAAATACCTTCTCCCTGGTGTGGGACCCCGGGCCTCAACTCACCAGTAGTTAGTTACACTAGCAGACAGCCCAAGCGCGCCGTCAGTGGAGCTCGTTACTCAACACCATCTACCTCACTGCACAGCTGCTCAGTTTCCCGTTCATCCAGAGCAATATACGAAACGAACTAAGTGATTGTGCAATCGCCTCCAATGTCTGGCTATACATCCCCTTTCTTTCATTTGCTGGTGACTGAAACTGTAGCAGCTGGAACCAACCTGCTCTTGGTACATGGTTTATTACTGGGCTATAGATGAGCTTCGGACTTTTCCTGTTTGATCGAAAGAGTCATTCACGATAAGTTGGTTGACGAGTTCTTGATTGGGTTTTATATTTACGTGTCATAGATCTAAGCCGTCTAAAAATAGGTTTGACTGTAACAACCCCTCGTTGCCTAGCTGCCACGTTTATCGATGGAAGTACGAGGGCTGAGATACTCTCTGGTTGCTCAGTCCACCCCCGACAGGAACAGTCAAAATGCAGAGGTTCGGTTGGTCGCACGGTTATTCCGGTCAGCAGGCTCGCGCCTCAAACACTGAGCCATCTCATGCTTCAGGTCGTCTTGTAGTGAAGGAATAGAACCGAACAATCAAACAATCTGCAGGTCAACTACTCAGCTCGAACTTGACCCCCTTCGTTTTGAAGCCTATAACGATAGTACGGCACATCACATTACAATCAGATTCAGGCTCAGGCATTGGAGTTGGAAAGCCAAAATTGCCGGATTAGACAAACACGTGCATGTGGATGCATGTCACTTTTTGGAGTCGAATAAGGAGTTTCAGTGGTCACTTCAAGGAAATCGTGGAAGTGTATTTCGGTACGAGATGTCATTTGTGGTGCTGTTTCGGTGCACGTTGATATCTCATCACCTGCTACGCCGACACTAATACATTTTCTTTTCTTCCCAACCCCTCCCCGTAGACCATTGCGGCGTTGGATTATTTGAAGGTTGAACTGAAGGTGATTCACAGAGGTATGCTTTTTTCCAAGTTTTTGTTATACAGAGGAGTTCCCATTCTGTGTTTGTTTTCATGGATGGACACCTGGGTGTGGGCTATTTTGTAAGTGACCCCAATATACATTCATAGATCGCGACAAAACAACCCTGTTAGGAGTATTACGTTAGAAATGCGATTCATCGCGTAGCTTTGCCAGGTAGATGGAATCAATCAATCAATTTAAGTGATTTCTTGTTTTTGCCAATACAAACCCGACTACTTGGGGTCGTACAAGCGTTGTTCCCAACTTTTTCCGTGATCCCTGTGGAGTACCCGGTAATTATGAAACCGATGAGACTTAGATTTAAAGGTATGCTAATCCGAAACACCAGCATGCATAAGTTTCGTTCCTGCTACACCCATTGGATGAGCTTTCACTGGAACGAAACTTATGGTAGGCTCAACACATGCTGCTCTACAGTATCGATCAAACTGTCATCGCGTGAAGTCACATGGGATCACAAACTGCTTGTCTGATGAAAGTAACTACGAAGTCGTAATTTATGCATTCGGATTCTATTGACGCACAAACGTTTTCTGCTTTTTTCTGTTCGGGACCGTTCTTTGACAGTTTACAATGCGGTTTGAAAGCTGAAACACTGTGTCGGCCCTTATTCAAAGGATGTGCCAAAAAGAACCTGTCATGTGTACCTTGTTATTCTAACGGTACGTATCTAGGCATAGGACCGTAAATCTCTGCCGTCGTTTGTTGTGTAGTTTTGTTTCTACAAGAATGCACACATTAAGGTGATCTGATCAGGGTGTCTTCCAACCTTTCTGAACAGTTTGGTAGGCACACTTCAGCTATTGTGTTGCTGGGGCAGTGGTCTTTGGAGAACAGCACGGTGGAATGTTTTCCGTCGCTCCAAACTGTTCTTTTAGCACTGGTGTATATTTTTTGTTGTTTACGTTTCATAATTCGACAGACTATCATAGCTCAATCCAAAAACATCATACTTTCAGAGAGACGGCAGTTGTCAACTGGTTGGTGTTTTCGTACTTCGTAGCCAGGTCATACACTGTCGGTCGCTTCCACTCAGCACAGGGCTGGGCGGAAAGAACTCTGCGAGGCAGTCGATCTTCTGGCATGCAGAGTACATGTCCTAACCAGCAGAACCTATGCGGCATGAGTTATTCATCTATCTCGGGAGAGTTCGTTCTTCATGGTACCGCCTGGCGTACCTCAGCATTGCTGACCTTATGTTCCTACCAGGCTCGACCATTGCTTCAGAGACACTGACATCTCTCGTACGTTCTCTGAGCGTAGAGTCCACGTCTCTGACCCATAAAGCAGTATGGATCGCACCGCCGCAGTGTAAACTCTGCCCTTGACAGACAAACTGACGTCAAGTCGGCGCCAAAAGCTGTCCTGGCCTTTCCGATTCGAGAAATAGTCTCATCTCCAGCCAGTCCACAGAACTTAAACCGCTGTTCAGGCAAACAAATTTACATATCACATCACAGCTCGTTCGCAAGCATGAGGTTTGATCCACTCCAGTCTTGTAGGAGCATGCCAAACTGTGCGGCAGAGTTATTCAAGTTATTTACAATAGTCACATTTTTGAAGGATCTGAACCAAGGAGAGCAATATCGTCTGCATAATCAATGTCTGTGAGGGAACGTCTCGGACGCATTTTGTCTCCCGAGGTTTCTGAGGCCGACAGAGAAATTTCAACCAGCACATCAGTAACAAAGTTAGGGAGGAAAGGCTAGAAGAGCAGCCTTTTTTTACACCATTGGACGTGGCAAACTCAGATGAAGGCTTCCCGTATACTCGTACTTGCCCACAGGAGTTCGCATACAGTACCCTCATAAGGGATATAAATTTTTCAAGGGACACCTTTGACTCCAAGACACAGCCAAAGTTTCTCACTATCAACAGAGTCAGAAGCAAATTTCAGATCAAGAAAAATAACCAATGTGGAACGGTTTAAGCAGTGGGTCTGTTCAAGAATTTGTCTCAAGGTAAACATATGATCGATGCATCCTCGACGAGAGCGAAGAAATCCAGCTTGGTTCCCACGAATTTATCCCTCCCGATAACCGATCAACCCACGCAAAATACTTCCTGAGAGCACTTTAGATGCGACGGCTGATGCCAGAGTTGTTTTCGCATGACGTCTTTGCGCCATTTTTGAAAACTGGGATGACGGTCGGGGAGCCTTATCCGGCACGTATTCTGTTCTTGTTCCGAATCTTCTGTTGTATGGTCGTCAAACTGTTCACCAGAACCTCGCCACTATCTTTGAAGAGTGCGGGGTACAGACCATCCGCGCCAGGTGCCTTATCGTGCCTGGGGATTAATACCTCGCGCTGGGTTTCTGTTGTTGATGGCGGGCTGGTGGCGTCGTCCCATTCAGGTCCGCTGGGCTCTCCCAGTTGTTGCTTTGAAAGTACGGCAGTGAAGTGTCGGTGTTGAACACTGATGTCATGCTATCGATGATGATGACTTTGAAGGAGGCCAGCTGAACTGTTACTTGAAGTCTTCAGCCTATTACTCGGGACGACGTTTGACGGAGTGAATTGCTGTTCCGCCTTTTCTGGAATGTTGTTCCACCGACACCTGCCGTATTATGAAGGTCACCATTTAAAATGTAAACAGAATATTCACAAAGGAAAGTACCTAACCATTACTTTGTGAATTTGTCACTCCAATCAATTTTAGGTCGTCCGGTATGACTTGCGCTGTTGGTGCATGAGTGCTGGTATCTCTTGTCTGGGAACATGTTAACAATCCGTAGCTGACTCCACAGCGTTGCGGTATTCCTCCGTCTTCCTGGTTTGTGCGGCGTTGATGATTCCCGATTAGAATCAAACAGCAGCAGCGGGCTACGTCCAGCAAGATGAGACTCAATCAGTATTTCTTTTAGAATACACACTCGCATGACTGTTGTTTGAGCAGTTATCCTCCTGTCTTGGGGCAATCATTCTTCTGAGTCCACACCATGGGGGGAGCACTGGTCTCGATTTTCGCTCTTATCAGAGCTCATCGGAAGTGCATGTCCTTGGCCGTGCCGGGATTTCAACTCCGCACTTTTGACATGTGAAGCGAGCGTGTTACAACTACTTCACCAACACACGCTGGACGCATCTGAATTTTAACGTCTGAGTAGGCAAACGTGTTCGCAACATGCGTGTGCATTCCACTAGAAGCCTGCAAGCACCAACACTAAGTTATTTTTTGCCTACTTGCGAGTAGTCTGATTAATTTGGACACAATCCATTCGAGCTGGGCTTTAGTTAATGAAATGCCCTGTACACCTCTAAGCATACGTCATTCAGCTGACACATTGGTCTTTTGTTGAATTTCCGCGTCTCCTTGCACATCCTTTATCATAGATGTCAAGCCGTCAAACATTCTGATCGACCGAAAAGGCAATATCAAGTTATGTGACTTCGGAATATCCGGTGAACTGGTTGATAGTATCGCCAAGTCTCATGACGTTGGCTGCAAACCCTATATGGCAGTGAGTCACTATTGTTACCAACAATTACACTTCCCACAACCAGTCTATCAGGGAACCCTATCTCCAGAGTTACCAGCACTCCTGTTTTTTTGTGTTGGTTAGCCCCAACACACACCAGCTCATTTTTTAGTCATATTTAGTATGCCATTCGAGTATTAGGGGGAACGCTAGGGATGATAAACGGCTTGTCTACATCTTCGATCATTAGGGAAATACTTATCTTAGAGCTGTTTGAGCCTGACTCACCGTACTTTGAAAGCTTCATCCAACACCAACCTGGTATACAAGAACAAAGGCATTAGCTAAGCGAGCTAACTAGGGTTGACGGTACACTGTGTACCAAGGTCGATAGGGCGCTGGGTCTTGTGGGGTCTCAAGCGGCGCGCACGGATAATCAGGTACAGATCATCCAGGAAAGTCTGAAAACGATCGGCAGTCCAAAACATCTTTTTATTCATTGGCACACATGTTTTTGAGCTGCAGGTGTATGTGTGACGGGGGCGAGCAAACCATAGACTGAGTTTGGTCATGTTCCCCCGCGAAAGTTTTTGAATCCTAACCTCAACAACAGGTGGTTCCCGTAACGCTACCGCAAGACACCATATTTGTTACAATTTCCTTACTGACGGATCGGGAGACCATTTATGTTAGACTTCTCTGCAAGCGTTCATCTTTAGTACCCTTCCGGTGCCTAGCTGCCATGCCACCCGAAGGAAGCACGAGGGCTAAGATTCTGCCTGGTTGCCCAAGCCTAGACAGGGGAAGTCGAGAGGCGGAGGTCGGATTCGAACCACGGACCTTCCGGTCAGTAAATTCGCACTCTAACCACTTAGGCCACTTTGCCCCTACTTCTCTGCAATGACTGACCTGATGTGGGACCATGTGCTCCTTTTTGATGCCTTCCACTATAATTCAGTGTTTGGCTGGGATACGCGAACTCTTGCCCCACAATAACGTCTAATCTCTTCGCGATGACCATGTTAACAGATGGTCAAGTTTTTTCATGCTAACTTTTCCTTATGGATGTTCACATAAGCCATTGTGACATTCTCCGTTTTCCAGAGACGTTGCTAATTTTCCAGTTGGGGTGGTGTACTCTCGATGACGACGGGGACTTGCCCTTCGAATAGACTGGCTCTCCCTATCAGCAAACGAAGTACAGTCCCAGCAAGACCGTTAAAGGTAAATGCAGTGTTATAAGCCTTCCGTGCATTCGGCTTAAGGCTAGTAGCAGCAACCCAGAAAAATAGGTTGGTTTTGACGGCAGTGCGTGACGAAATTAGAACGAGCAAACGGGGAGCAATGAATCCATAGCAGTTCACCAGTTAGATAACAAGTGAGCGTGAAATCCCATGAGCTTTCCTGCAAAAAATCACATTTTATGGAAGTAGCTTGACTTGAAAGTCAATATTGGATCAGATTGGGACAGTACTTGTTCTGCTGTTCGATTGTACGATCAAGTTACTGAGTTGCTTAGCACAGTTGAAAATGCTGCAAGAAGCAGTCATACGATAGCCATAAATTTTTCGCCCTGGACATTGATATGGCCCGTCTCGGGGTCCCCATCCAGGAAGACGGCAGTGACCAGCGCACCTGAGTTTGCTGGTAATGGCTTTCACACTTCGCTGCCAAGTCATTGGTTGACTGCCTCTGGCTCTTCCACCCTTCATGTGGTTGTGCGAAAAGAGCCCTTCGAGGAAGTCGGTCGACAGCACGTGGCCAATCCAGCGCAAACTATGCAGTGTAATCAGTTCATCTATCGAGGGTGAGTTATTCCTCCCGAATACCATTCGACGTACTTCAGAATTGCTGATCCGGTGTTCCCACCAGATTCGGTCAATGTTCCGAAGACATCTATGTTGCTCCCAGAATGGAATCGCTGAGCCTAAAAAGGAGATATATAGCTAGGTACCCTCTAAATAACAACCTACGCGGTGTTGGGCTGGGGTACTCCGATGCCTGTTCTGTGGCGCAC